TCTTTTAGAATTGGTGGTCTGCCATTCCTCCTTTTGACCTTCATATCGAGGCACAGCTGGCTGAATTGGGTCTGTCTTTGGAGGAGTTTTCTGAGTGTGATAAATAGCTCATACCTCCATGGCTCATTATCACCTCACCTGTGACCTTTCTTTGAGCTGTATGAGGAGGAAAGATACTCACAATTGGAAGTACCGTTATCTCTTTGCCAGACGTTTTTCGAACCATTCTTCTGTTCCAGTTTTAATGAATGGTTCGAAATTAGGTGATTCTGTGGGCTCTGGCATGGTTTGTTGTGGTTCGGTGGTTGCTTACAGTATCCTCTCTACAGTTTCTGTGTTCACTGCCGAGTTGTATGTCATTTAATTTGCCTTGTATCACCTAGAAGCCAATCAATACACTAATTGTACTATTTACACTGATTATCTTAGCTCTCTACTGGCTCTGGAATCGCTTAGTGTGAGTTCTGACCCTGTTCTCTTTGACATTCAGAAATAATTGGCCCCCTTTTCGCTGTCAACCATTTCTATCCAGTTTTTATGGATACCTGGGCATGTCGGTATTCGTGGGAACAAGTCAGCTGATATTCAGCCAAGTCCATCTGCTCTGGCATTATCATAGGTGTGCCTCTCACATATGTGGAAAACACGGTTTCACGCCAATTAGCAGTTGATTTGGGATGAGCAAATTTGCAACAAGCTTTTCCAAATTAAATCTTCTGTTTTTGTTTGGCCGTCTAGTTTCCATAAGGATTGGAGGGAGGAAGTGGCCTTGTCTAGGCTAAGCATTGGTCATAGTTTTTTTACTCATCATTTTCTTATATATGGGACTGATCTGCCATTATGTGGCTTTTGTGATACTCAGGTTTCAATTGCCTACGTTTTACTTTTCTGCCATCGTTATGACTGTGGGCAACAGAAACATTTTAGCCATGTTTTTTCTAAGGGTTAACCTTTGACGTTGAACAGTGTCACTGGCGATGGTGACACTATCCAGCATGCTTATGTTTTTAGCTTTTTCGGGCCATTCTTTTTAATTCTAGATAATTTTTACCTGATTTTTTGGGCATTGTTTAGCTTTTAGTTTTGTTTTTTGTTTTACTTTTTATAGAGTTTTACTTCTCTTTGTCTTTTAGATGGTTGTATGGCGCAGATAGCATTGTTGCTTTACGCCACTAAATTCCAAACAACCAACCCTTATGTAACAGATGATGGCACTCCTGTTTGCCAGGTCCGCCACACTGGTCAAAATCAGTGGGTGCTTTCATTGTGAAGCGATTATGGATCTATAATTCATATTTTGGATTTCAGAAACTCCCAAATATGTCTTCTAATTCAGTTATCTCAATTATATGGTAAAGATAATAAAATTATTTTAGTAAGAATTCCTTATGTGCAACATCAGAAGAATAGTGGTAATAACTGTGGTCTTTTTGCCATAGCATTCCTGGCTATCATACAGCAGGGATGGGCAATACAGAAGTAAACTTTAAGCAGGAACATAAGATCCCATTTCATGGATTGCCTAAAAAAGGGAGCACTGTCACCTTTACCTCAAGAAGCACGAAACAACAGTTATAAAGTGAATTATCAATGCTTAATAATATTTATTTGTACGTGTAGGCTTCCAGAGGTTACAGGAGAAGTTATTAGATATCACAGTGGGTTGTCACAATCGTGTAGATTATTGTATCGTAAACACTGTGTACTACTAGTAAGAAGGGGTCATGAAGGTAACTGGTTATGTGACAAATGTAAAGGGGGTCCAATGAATAAAAGTGAATCAAATGAGAATAAAATAATTAGTTTTACCTTACTGTGTATTATAATATTCATGTAATTTATAAATATGTTTATTTATTTGTAAATAAAATTAATATACTACATTAATATACTACTACTGAGATGCAGTACTGTGAAAAAGTGTTAGGACAAAATGAAAATTTAGATTTCAGGCTACTTTCAAAGAACAATGGAAGGTAAATCAGAGGTGAAACACCAACATTTTATTAATATTCATATTTAGTACAACAGAAAATCAGTAGAAGTGCTTGAGTTCAGCAAACAGTTAATATTTTTGTGTCCCTCTTTTGCTTTAATAACTGCAGACAGTCTTTCAGGCATTGTGTCCTTTGGGATTTTACTTCAAATGTCTCTAATACACTCCCATAAAGTTTCTTTAGAAGTAACTTCTGATTTGTCAAGTTTTTGATCTATCAAGTCTCAGATCTGCTCAACTGGGTTTAGATCGGGGTTCTGTGGGGGACTCCAGCAGCTTCTTTTTTAGCTAAGTAATTTCTGCGTAGGTTTGATGAGTAATTGGGGTCAGTATCTTCTTGGTAGTAGAATCCTTGCGCTGGTCCATTATTCTAAATATCTCCTGTCACCTCAGCAGAGAAACACCCCAAAACCATTACACTGCCTCCCCAATGCTTCATGGTAGGTGCTATGCATTGAGGTAAATATCTTTTACCTTTCTTCCGCCGATCGTAAAACCCACGCTTTGAACCAAATATTTGAAACTTGGACTCTTCCATAACACCCTTTTCCAATCATCAACGGTCCAGTTTTTGTACTTTTTTTTGAGATCGAAGTAAGGTTTTTTTTAACTGCTACACGACCAAATATTCCATTCTCGTTAAGTTTTATTGATACTGTAGATCTGAGCACTTTTCTGTCATTTGGTACAAGGTCGTTTATCTCATGCTTGAAATCAGTGGCAGTCTTCCTTCTGTCCCGAAGGCTGCATAAACGAAGATACATAACATCAGAATCACTGAGTTTAGGTGTTTTGCCTCTTCCTTTCCAACTTTCAAATTTACCTGTCTCAGCCTCACGATCTAGGGTGCACTTAACAGTGTTTGGGGAGCATTTTAAGTCTAATTCAATTTTTCGGAGAGTCAAACCAGCATCACATAAAGTTTTTATGCGAATTCTCTGCTCTACTGACAATTCTCTACGCTTTTTTGGACCGTTTCATGACAACAGAACTTAATATATAGTGTTAAACATTGTTTCTATCAAGGTTTATTTGTGGGCTGCTATGCAATTGATTTATTCTAGCATATACTGGTACCATATGATAGCTTCTTTCTATATAGTTAAAACACTGCATGGGATACCATGACATTTATTTCAGACCCAAAATTTGATCAGTATGTTAATTCAAGCAGAACCCTTATGACATGCTCTTGGTACAAGTGTGTGGGAATTCTACAGAATGATAAGTATTCTCACCCTGGTTCATTCAGTTGTCAACAGGGATCAGTGAAGCATTATCATAGTATTAAACTTTACATCCTGTAATAGCATGGAAGAATTAGCCACAAAAAATGGAAAGAATGACAAAATATTCTCTTGTCCTAACACTTTTGCACAGTACTGTATAATTGTATATAAACGAGGTTATGCAGTGGTAGGTTATTGATAGGGTTCCTATTGTTATGCAGTGGTAGGTTATTGATAGGGTTCCTATTGTTATGCAGTGGTAGGTTATTGATAGGGTTCCTATTGTTATGCAGTGGTAGGTTATTGATAGGGTTCC